ACATCTTTCTTTAGGTTGGGAAAGTTTTCTTCTATAATTTTATTAAATATATTTTCTGGGCCGTTGAGTTGCACCTCTTCTCCTTCTTCTACTCCAATTATTCTTAGGTTTGGTCTTTTTATTGTGTCCCATATTTCCTGAATGTTTTGTGATGAGAATTTGTTGGTTTTGCTGTTTTCTTTGATCAGTGTGTTTATTTTCTCTATGGTATCTTCAGTATCTGATATTCTTTCTTCTATCTCTTGTATTCTGTTGGTAGTACTTGTCTCTGTAGTTCCTGTTCGTTTACCCAGATTTTCCATCTCCAATCTTCCCTCGGTTTGTGTTTTCTTCATTACTTCCATTTCATTCTTCAAGTCTTGAACTGCTTCCCGTACCTGTCTGATTGCTTTTTCATGTTTCTCTTGGTTTTCTTGGGTATCTTTAAGCGATTTATTCATTTCCTCTACCTTTTTGTTTGTAATCTCTAAATGTTTATGGCAGTTTTTTACCTCCTGTTTAAGGTCTTCTATTATTTTCATATAATTCACTTTTGGGTCGATTTCTTTTAATTCTTCTGGAGTAGGGTGTACAATTCTTCTTATTTTGTGATCCCTTGATTCTGGTGAAGTCATGTTGCCTTTCAAGTTGTTGGAGGAAGTCGTGCATTGGCGCCTTCCCATCTCCTCCTTCAAATGGAGCCAGCAGAGGCCTGGTGTCTTGGTCCAGTCTTTGCTGTGACTGAGTCTCTGGGTGTATCTCTTCAGTGTAGAAGCAGGGGCTGTCCTATCAAGCTGGAACTCCTCAGCACCCAAACTTGGACGACTGTCCAGATGGAACTCCTCAGCACCACTCTGGGTGGGTTGTGGATGCAAGCCCGATTTCTCTCCTGGTGCCTGGATCGGATCTCCTTGTTGCTTGGGTGGCTTATAAACAAAGGGCCTACCTTGCTTGCTGCAGGCAGGCTATTGGGACAAATGAGCTACCACCCTCCCATTTGCCCTCTCGATTCGGATTTGGTCCCAGCCCCGGAACAGGCTGAGCTGGGAGATGTTATGTGGTCAAAGAGGGGAGAGAGTTGGACGGAAGGGTGGAGGGTTGTGTATGCAAGCTGGGTGGGATAGGAAGAGAGAGGAGGTATCGGGCAGTATAGCCCCTGAGGATGACCAGGAAGTGTAGGAGGGATGAGGAACGTCTGAGTTCCCTGTCCCTGGCTGCTGCCATGGTCAGAAACTCACTCACCCCATTGGTGTTTCTCCTGGTGGTGAAGATATTCTTAAACTGGTGGAAATATTCACTCTCTTCGCTCAGGGGACAGTTCTCACAAATTCTCAATTTTGAGAAGCACTGATATAGGACCAGGCAAGGTGGGTGGCTCAGGCCAGGATGTTGACTGTACCCCTGCCAGGCCGCACTCAGACATCCCTGAGGACCAGTCTCAGCTTCCTCACTGCAAAATAGGGTGGAACCTGGGTGGATGGAAGAACATACACTTGTGAGGAATAGAAAGGAAAGAGTGGTGCTCAGTCAATTAGAAAATTATTATTTGGGACTCTTTTACTAATGGCCATGCCTAGAGAAAGGAGGAGGACTAAGGTTTGAAAAGTTCTCTACATAGCGTGATGTCTCTACTCTCTTGGGGGTATCTGTGGATGGACAAAATGAACTCAGACAGAAGTAGAGTACCAAGTCTGCAGAGCAAAGAGTCGGAAACCCCAAAGATGAACAGGTGGAGAGAAATTCCTACGTGCAGTGGGGCTCCAAAGCAGGCAGACAACCCCTGGTAGCTGGACCAGCTCAAAGACATGGTCCATATCCTGTAGTGCTGCTGCTGGGCCGATAAGAGAGTGGTGTGAGGATATTGATACAGAGTGAAGAGGCCACACCTGAGGTGCCCTGAGAAAGATCTTAGGATCTTGAACTTCCCCATAAATTTAAGCCAGAAGGTAAGCCAATTGTGCTCTAGACTTGAGCAATAGAGGGTTTGCAGCTGAGCCTGGACTGCGCTGGTATCCATAACGAGGCAGCTGTGTGCACCAAGGTGAGCCGAGCCATCGTATCTAGTACTTCACAGACCCCAGGACTAGTGTTGTGTGTCTTTCTGAGATTGCCTAGATCGTTATAATGAGAAGGCATTCCATTTTGTACAGTGAGGAGTCTTTACTACTACTATTGTTTTTGTTGTGCGTTTATAAAAGAGAGACAATGATGAAGGTGTTCATGAATGTGATTCATGGGGGTCAAAAGACAACTTTGGGAGGTGGCTCTCTCCGGCTATGGGCTCAGGGGTCGAACGCTGGCTGTCAAGCCTGCACAGGAAGTGTTTTCACTTGCCAAACCATCTTTCTGGTCTGTAATAAAGACTCTGAGTGGCAAATTCCACTGTTACGCAAATAATGATCATGACAGGGTGCTTGCTCGTGACGCTGGTAGGCCTCTCATCCAGGGCAATCACCTCACAGGCCCTTCCCTGAGGCAGCTGGTGTGGAACCTTCCTTCCTACTTCCCCTAGGCTTGAAAAGGTACATTAAAATGTTTCCAGCTGAAAATGTTCACCTCTTTACATAAAGTTTGCCTTGTCTTGATTTAAGCCCTGGTGGGCATCAGATTTCATAGTCATGAGTGAAGAAGGATGTGAGTCTGGTGTGGTGTGTGTGCTTGTATGTGGTGTGTGTATGTATGTGGTGTGTGTCTGTGTGTGTGGTGTGTGTCTGTGTGTGTGGTGTGTATGTATGTATGTGGTGTGGGGATGGGAGTGGATGGGGGAGGGAAGCCTGAGTAACTCTAAGTCCAAGTCCAGGAACTTTGAACTATATTTTCAGTCCCATGAAATGCCCAGGGCTCATCTTATCGGTCCTTGATCATGCTCCACAGGCCATGACCCAGGATGGAAATGAGTCCAGATTTCTGAGGCTGCAGACACACACCTTCTGCTGCCTCAGATTCCCCGGGAGGGAAGCTGGCAGGGACAGCTGGCTCAGCCCGTAGAGGGGCACGTTGGGGACAAGGAAACAGACTGTTAAGGAGACCTGAAGTGAGGTTGAGACGGAGGCCTGAGGGGATTCCAATAGACCCTGGTTTGGGGGTCTGTGTTCTTGGCCTTTCAGCCTTTTGGTTGCCTATGTACTGTGGGCAGAGACTTCTTTTTTTAAAATTAATTTATTTATTTATTAAAGATTTCTGTCTCTTCCCCACCGCCGCCTCCCTTTTCCCTCCCCCTCCCCCGATCAAGTCTCCTTCCCTTGTCAGCCCAAAGAGCAATCAGGTTTCCCTGCCCTGTGGGAAGTCCAAGGACCACCCACCTCCATCCAGGTCTAGTAAGATGAGCATCCAAACTGCCTAGGCTCTCACAAAGCCAATAGGTGCAGTAGGATCAGAAACCCATTGCCATTGTTCTTGAGTTCTCATAGTCCTCCTTGTCCGCTATGCTGGGTTTTATCCCAGGCTTTTTTCAGACCCAGGCCAGCTGGCCTTGGTGAGTTCCTGAAAGAACATCCCCATTGTCTCAGTGTGTGGGTGCACCCCTCGCGGTCCTGAGTTCCTTGCTCGTGCTCTCTCTCCTTCTGCTCCTGATTCTGACCTTGAGATTTCAGTCTGGTGCTCCAATGTGGGTCTCTGTCTCTGTCTCCTTTCATTGCCTGATGAAGGTTAATATTCAGGAGGATGCCTATATGTTTTTCTTTGGGTTCTCCTTCTTATTTAGCTTCTCTAGGATCACGAATTATGGGCAGAGACTTCTTAAGGAAGCCTGAGTTTCAGGTCCGTGCTATGTTTGATACGCCATGTAAGACACACGTGAAGGACCTCTGTTCCCGCTGCTTACAGAGAACACAGTTCATGGTTTTCATCTCCCCTTAACTCTCCAAGTGCTAGGAAAAGAGAACACACATGGCTCCCGGGGCCTCCTTCCCCTGACACTCACTTAGAACCATTCATGGCACATGTCCAGTCTGAACAGGCATGTGTGGGACCTCAGAGTAAGGGAGATCATGAGATCTGGAAACTGGGCTTCTCATCAAGTACTTTGTGTTGTTTTTTTTTTTTTTTTTTTTTTTTATCCCCTTTGCATTGCAATCAGTCCTGCAGAGTGGAATGTGAGTGGAGAAACATTCTTAAAGGGAAAATTCCCATGACCTGGTCCACAGCTGAACTCGAGGCCAAAGCCCACAGGGCCCTGGGTGGCTGTGCTGACATAGCAGGACTCTAGAAGTCACAGCGTGTCCCCTGAGAAGGTTCTTGATGGCAGATAAGTGACTACTTTAGATTCCTTAGGTTGGGGAGCTGGTAGAGGTGACACTGGCTGGGTGTCTGTGGTGTTGTGGAGGTCTGAGAAGGAAATGAAGAAGCTAGACCCGTACAAAGGTGGCGGATGTCCTGCTGCTGCAGTATGGCACGGCTACCTGTTGTTCCCTTGGCACTTTCAGGGTAAGCGAGGTCACCCACAGAGGAGGTTGTTTTAAGCTCTCTAACAAAAGGGGCCTTGTCCATTTTATTCCCTGTGGAATTTCCACTGCCCAGAACAGTGTGTGCCTCGTGAAGGATACCCAAATATCTGTTGGGGAAGGGGGTAGGCTATAAACCCCATTTGCAAGAAGAAAGCAGCTTAAATAGAAGGGTGAGCTACTATCTGGGTAGCGGCTGGTTCAGCACCCACTCTGCAGATTTCCTTTCTCTAAGCTCTGTCACCTGGTTCTGTTGAGCCTTCGCTGTGCAGGCAGCTCCTCTGGGTTGCTGAGCTTCAGCTGGGAGAACGAATCATCGCCCCTGCTCTGGCTGACTTCCTCTCGGGCTGCACCGCATACCATTCTGGCTTTTACTTCAGGTTTAGACACTTGTAGTTTCCCACAGGTTATAGTTGAAGAGATGATAGTGTACATCTGGCCAGTCAGAAACCAGTGTTCAAATCCTGGCTCTGCCACTTCCCAGAATTTCAACCTTAGGCAGGTTATTTTCAGGCTCCAGCCTGGGGTGTTTCAACTATAATGTGGAGCTCTATTAATAGCATTGCTTGCTATATTTAGGGAAGCATGAAGGATGTACATAGTTTCAGATCTCATTGGCTCTGTGCAGGCTTCTCTAGAGGAGCTCCTGGAGCATATGAAGACCCAGTAGATTTTAACTTTACTGATGGGCTGTTTTCTTCTGTGACCAGTGTGTTCCTCATTCCACAGCCCCACTCCTCCCAGTTCCCTAAGGTTCACTCGCATCAACTGTTCAAAACTCCTTTAGAATGATGCATCATGGGATACCTCCCTCTCAGAAGCATCCCTTTCTGCTTCTATGGAAACTTGCTTGCTTATCTACCCTGGTATGATTTCCAGCTTCAGTATCTGCTTTCCCCCATAGACTGAGAGATCCTGAAGCCAGGGAAGAGTTTTATTTATCCGTCTTCTTTCTAAGACACACCATTCTTTTTTATTATTAGATGTTCCAATATTTGCTAGATACATAATTATAAGGTAGCAGTGCACCATTTAAACAGATGTGCTATTGTCATAGATGTGCTCAGTCAAGCTCAGAGGAAGGGGAGATGGACTGCACTTGTGGGGTATGGACAGAGTCAGAAACTTAATGAGCACAAAAGAAAGTCTGCGTGTGCCTCCAATATAGTAGCCACTTCAAATTTATATGCCAAAGACCTTAGCCGGAAGGTAACTTTTTACCTGTGTGTAAAGCAAACGAGGCATCAGAGGGCTACTTCCCCTCTCCACCATGTGAGGACAGAGAATCAGGAATCAGGCCACCAGCACACTGATTCTGCTGGTGGTTTCATGCTGGCCCTTTCAACCTACAGACCTGCAATAGCAAACGTCTGTCAGTCACCAGCTACCTAGTGTATGGCATTTTCTTTAAGCAGACTAAGACAACATTGCTAGATTATCTACAACTTACCTTAAAGAAATGCTATTTAAATGTCAAGATATGCATTGAAATCTGTTTTACTCTAAACATAGCTAAATATTAGAAGTTGCCTAATCTCTATAGGGGTGCTTTGTCTTTTCACATTCCATAGTTAACACACGATTTTAATAATCAGTATTTGCTAGTTTTCTAAGAAAACCTCAAGTTTTCTTCATGAGCATCCAGGGTGTAAAAGTTTAGTTTGCATTGGTGGAATGAGTCGTGTCTATTGGAACAACCATGGAACTGGACAGGCAGCCTGGTCTCTGTGTGACCTGTGACCAGGGCATGAAGAACTTATCGTTGGAATGACTCTGAGGTCTCCCACTGTAGAGTTCATCTGCTCAGGGAGATTTCTGTCATCTGACTCCTCAACTGACTCTTGTCACATCTACTTTAGTTAAAAAGGGCCGAGAGGTACGACAAAGCAGGCAATCTCAAGTTTTGTTCCTGCTAGCTGGGAAGGATCTCAGTGCCTCAGAATTAGCCCTGACACTTGCACTTTCAATGTGATGAAGTTGGACTATGCACCTTACTTCTAATAGATGAAGGTTGTCGGAAGGCTGGGAACCGAATTCTGTGAGAGAGAATGATCACTGGTGTAAGCTAATGGGAAAGAGTAGCGTTTGAGTCCAATGTTGCAGTGACTACAGAAAGCAAAACTGTAGAGATCAGAACCATCAAGACTTGGAGGCTGGTTAAGTGTGGCAGTAAGCTAGAGGGGACACTAAAGTGTCCATATGGGAGTGGAGTGGGGGGGATGTGCACCTGCAATGCCAGCACTGCAGAGCTTGGGAGGGGAGAATCAGAAGGTCTAGGTCAACGCAAGTCACATAGCAAGACCATGTAGCAAAAATGAACATCCAAAACAAAACAAGGAGAGAGTGAGGTGAAAAGAAAGAAAGCAATAAACATGTCATGGGTAGCAAGTTCACAAAATATGTCCATGTAGTTTGTCTAGTCATCACAATGGTTTAGACAGACATATGGGACAGTCACTAGGAACACAAAACAATCAAAACTGTACCCATGGCATGCTTGAATTTACTTGGCTAATAAGTCATGCTGTTGCCATTCAAATTCAGTGTTTCTGGCCCCAGGTTTGTCTCTTTTCATTTTACCTCCTGCACTTAAAGATGTAAGTTTTGTAGGGGAGACCCAGCCAATCACCTTGCTTGCAGGGGGCGGGTCCCCCGAGGATATTTTTTACTTATAAAGACTGTGGGCATGCTCCCTGCCTGCCCTTCTGTTTTCCTGTTCTCCGCTGGAACTTTTGGTTCTTTAAGTCTATTTCCCAATTAAAGCTGTATATATTATTACAATTTTTGTCTGAGTTCATTTAAGCCGCTACAAGGTTTGCTTGGGAAGAAACCGAGAGAGGTGGCAAGAAAGTAAGAAAGGCTGAAGTGATCCATAGGAGGAATGCAGGTGGGAAGCAGGCTGCAGCAGATGGAGGAAGGAGGAGTCCATGAAAGAGGAGGCCTTCTGCTGCTGTGGGTTTTGACAGGACTCCCCACAGGAAGAGCTGACATCTTTTCCACTCGCACCTTCACCTCCTCCTTAAATGTCAAGACAGTTCTGCCTGGGAACCCACAGTCTCTTCAGCTCACTGTCCAGAACACAGTCATTCTTGGATATCTTTCCTGTAAGGGGACCCATCTCTTATTCCAGTCTTCCAGGACCAAGAAACAAAAAAGTGGCACACGCCTTAAAACTAAGCTTATTGTCTCCCATATGAGAGAGGAAGGGGGGAAACAGTGGCACAGAACCTGTCATGGCTAGCACTTGGTGGCTACTAAGAATGTGAGAGGATGGTCATTTGGGCACAGCCTTCCATCTCAGCATCTTCCTGTCACTTCACAAAACAAGTCATTAAATAAGATAGATGGGACACCCTGTGCTCTCAATTGTTGAGGAACGAAAGTTGACATAAAATCCAGGCTTTGGCTTCTCCTGTGTGGTCATTTTTATTCTGACCAATCATTTCCAATACTTGCAGGAGCCTTTTAAGAACATACATCCCTGACTCTGGCTTTTCCCGGGTCTGATTTTGCAGTTATAAAAAAGAGAGACTGATGTATGGTTAGGAAAACTTTGTTCTTTTGTCCTAGGGTAGGTTATAGGCTGAAATGAACACCGACTTCCCTGTGCAGCAGCCAACATTCAATGCTCTTGGGTCATGGTTGGAGATACCCATGGAATGGAGATATGCATGGATCTAACTTGGTTGGAGATACCTGTCGAATGAGTAACAAATTGCCTTCAGGCCTGGGCCAACTCAGTTCTTCTCAAGTGCATTCCCAATGTTTCCATTTGGTCTCAGACTTCAGCTTCTAAATTGGCCTTGACAAATTTCGAAGGTGCCTTGGAGGCATTCCTGTGCCTGCTGAACAACTTCTCTTGGCACAGGATCCTGGGCAGGATAAACGATGGGCAAGAGTAGGGACCACTTGATGAAGTTTCCCATAGAGAGAGTAGAGAAGGAATGTCTGACGGTCAGAAGAGCACAGGCAGTATGAGGTGAAACCTTACTTGGTTTGTAGGAGAGACCACACAGAATAAAACCCAGGGGAAAGAGTGGGAACCATGCGGGACTGCAGCCATTTCTCTGTCTTAATTCTTCCTCTGAAAAGCTTAACTGTCTTAAGTACCCCAGGAAGTGTTAACTCTCCTGGGTGGGCTGCATTATCTTACACCTCGGGAGAATGAGTGATGAAAACCTCTCCTGAGACTGGGCACATAGAGATAAGGGCAGTTAGAGCCCAGCTTGCCACATTTGTGTGCTCAGCAGTGTCGCTCAGGCATGGGAAGACAGAAGCACACACAGCAGGCTGAGAACAGAAGGACCTGGGATGCGATGCTTGCAGGAGATGTTTCACATGGAAACCTTGAACAGGATGGACACAGGCGCATTTCTCATTGCTTGAAGTCTCTATCTTTGAGTCATCACTCAAGAACGTGTTATAAAGCAAGGAGAAACCTCAGTAGTAACCTTTATGTTCATATGAATTATGCAGGGGATAATCTTTCCATACATGACTGTAAAGGTTTTCTTATTAAGAAAAGCATATGAAATATACTGATTATTATAAGTCTTTAAAAATGTGTACTCCAGAGAATGATATTTAGTATATTCACATAATCACAAAACCGTCACCACAGTCCTCTCTCAGACAAGTGAGGTGGCCCGGTGAATAAAACACTTGTTTTGCAAACATGACATCCTGAATTCAATTCCCAGAATCCACAGTGGAAAGAAAGAATCAACTTCCAAAAGTTGTCCTCTGACTTCTGCTGCACTGTGGGGCAAATACACCATCTAGGATACAACGTACAAAACACACACACACACACACAAATAACAATAATAATCATCATAACAACAACAACTGTTATATCAGAAGGGATAGAGGTAAAATGAAAATAAAAGAGAAAAGAGCTTTCATTAGATCAATGAAGGGCTGGAGTCTCTGTGCAGAGAAGGACACTGTGTGCTTGGGCACAGTGGGCTTGAGGGTCTTACAGGGAAGAAAGGGGAACTTTGAGGATGGAAGACTTTCATCTTCAGAACAATTTCTTGCAGTATCGGGGTCATAAAATGTCAGGAGAATGTTCTTATCGATATGCCGACCTAAGAAGTTTCCCAGCTCCTAGCGCCTGAAGATGTTCTCAGTGTGTTAACTTTCCTGCCTGGAGCTTCCCAACTCACCTGAGACTTTCAGTCATTAACCCTTCAATAACAACAATAATTATCATAAAATACAAAATAATTATTACAATCCTATTTCTCAGTCTCTGGGAACCAGTTGGTCTACAGTCTGTTCTTTGTATGACTCTGGTGTGAATCTTTGAGGTGCAAACCACTCGCTCATGCCTAGAATGCCTCTTTTCTTAATAATCACCAATTGCGTCTCTTGTAGTGTTTTAGCTAGCTATGTTTCCGAGATCCCTCACTGCAGAACATCTTCCTTTGTAACTGTTCTCAGCCAGGAAGCTTCTGCTTCATGGATAAGCAGGAATGCAGGAAATCCCAAGAAAGTTTATGCAGGTGCAGTGTGAGGTGATGGCCCCTAGTCTTTCTTCAATTTTGCTTTAACCAAGAATAATCTAAGACCAAGAAACAGTAACAGCACCCAGAGAGGGCATCTCCATGCACTAAGCCCTTTCATTGAGTTCTGAAGCCAGGCTCTTCCTGACTTTTCACTGGCCCTGTACCATTGTCTGGGGAGTACTGAAGGCAAGGGCCACAGCCTTGCTCAGGGAGGAGAGTTAGATCAGCTCTCTCCCAGGGGCCTGGCAGGTGGCCATTAGGCCTGTGAATCTGAGGAGCCTAGGACTATCTCTGGGCAGCTACAACTGTTTAGCCACACACAGAGCATGCTCATGACCCAGTGGGTTCTAAGACCATAACAAACAGCAAAGCAGATAACTCCAGCTCTGTTGGAGCTGACTCCCTGGCCAGCCCTCTGACTCTTGGGAAGACAGGATCAAGGTAGCTAATAAGTAACTTGATCACATTTTTTTTAAAGCAACATGAACCAAACAGGCAGCTTAATTGCATTGTATAAGTGAACCATGTGATCACAAATTGGCACCTTTACAACTGTCACCTGTCAACAAGAGAAAAATTCTTAGACTGGAGACCCTTCCTTTTGTGCGGGTTATACCGAATCAAAGAGGCTTTTAAAGCAAGGGGGGTGAGGAGAACACACATTTATCTTTTAATGCGGAGACCTTAAAGATTCAGCCTTGCCTGAGGCAAGCAGCAATTCCCCTCTGCCTTCCCTATCCCCATGTGAGCTTGCCAGCGAGCCTCTGAATCCCAGATACTGACTATTGATCAGCATGCCTGTTTAATTACCCAGCAGAGTGGGTTCTCCACCAATCAATTTCTC